TCTACGTTTTGTTGGCCAACATATATTTTCTCCTCGTCGGCGCTGCGAATCGCGTAGCGGGAATGGGACGCCCCGCGAATTCCAAAGAGGCATTCCCCTTTTCCTCCTCAGTTTCTCCCTCCATCCCTCTCTCCCTCCCCTCCTCCTTTTCCTCCTCCTCCTCCTCCTCCCTTTCGCCCATGCGCGGTTGGAGCGAAACGACGGTGCAACACGCGTGGCTGGACCGAGACGCGGCGCACTTCGCGCGCTGGACATGTTGTCGCCGACGATGCATCATGAGACGCATAAGCGGGGCGCGGCGTACATCGCGCGCGGTTTTGTTTCTCGTCGACGTTGCTCACTACGCGGCAGGAAGAGGACGCAGCTCATCGCGCGCTGAACGTTGGGCCGCCAACGATATATGATGAGCGGCAGGCGTCGGAAACGACGCACTTGCTTCTTATGTTGCGAGAGGGCGGGTGGAAGTGGGCGGAACCCTCTGGCTCGTTCGAGTTGGCTAACTTGATTACTGCTCTCTATTAGTATACACCCCCTCACCCTGGCCGCTGGGAGCCAACCAGGGACAATGAGGGCACCCCCCCACCATCCCTTGTACAAAAAACATACTAAACACACTCTGTCTCCAAATTCGGAGCATGCGCAGCAAACCCGATGCGGCCTCCCCTCACCATCGCTTTCAAAAAAACAATACAGAGTACACTTGGCGGCGGCGGCGAGGGCGGCGGCGGCGGCGGGGGCGGCGGTGGCGGCGGCAGCGGTGGCGGCAGCGGATGCAGCGGCAGCGGCTGCGGCGGCAGCGATTCGGCCGCGGGGGCGACGGCGGCGCCGGCGGGGGCGGCGACGGCGGCGGGCGGCGAGGCGGTGGCGGCGGACGGCGGCGGCGGGGCGGCGCGGCGGCGGCGCTGGAGCGGCGGCGGCGGCGGCGGGGCGGCGGCGGCGGCGGGCGGGCGGCGGCGGCTGCGGAGCGGCGGCGGATTCGCCCCCAGTAGCTGCCCATCCAAAAACGACTACTGAATATGCTGCGGTTCTGGCTAGCTCGGGCCAGGCGGGTGGGAGTGAGCGAACGGCTTGCGGGCGGGGAGGGAGTCTTGATCAATGTTCTGTATTAGTATATAAACCCCTTCCCCCAGGCGAGGGAGCCAACCCAAGTCCATGCGGCCCCCCCCCCCAACCCAGGTCCATGCGGTTTTTTTTTTGATTATATTATATATATAATATATATATATATATATATATATATAACTATATACATAGACATATACATATAAACACTCTGCCCCCACCAGCCCATGTAAAACAATACAAAACAAACTTTGTCTCCAAATCCGGAGCATGCGCAGCGGCCCGATGCGGCCTCCCCCACAATCGCTGTCAAAAACAATACAGAGTACATTGGCGGCGGGCGGCGGCGGCTGCGGCGGGGGCGGCGGTTGCGGTGCTACGGGGGTGGCGGCGGCGGTGGCGGCGGCGGCGGCGGCCGGCGGGGGCGGCGGGCGGCTGCGGCGGCGGTGGCGGCGGCGGGCGGGCAGCGGTGGCGGCAACGACTGCGGCGGCAGCGCTGCGGCGGCGGCGATGTGGCAACGGGGGCGGCGGCGGCGGCGGCAGCGGGCGGCGCGGTGGCGGCGGCGGCGGCGGACAGCGGCAGCGGCGGCGGCGGCGGAGGCGGCGCGGCAGCGGCGGGCGGCGGCGACGGCGGCGGTGGATTGGCCCCCAGTAGCTGCCCATCCAAGACGACTGCTGCATATGCTGCGGCTCGGGCCGGGCTCGGGTGCTGCGTATGTGTTGGGACGGCGGGTGGGAGTGAGCGAAACGGCTTGAGGGCGGGGAAGGAAACTCTTCCCTCCCCTCCCCTGGACGTGGACCGGGCCGGTCGCGGGCAGTTCGCGCGCCCAAAACAGCCTCTATACACAAGTTCTGGCCCCACTGTGGCCTCTCAGGGGGGCAAGGCTAAAAGAGCCCCTCTCTTTTTTGATCGGTGTCCTCCAAAATGGCCCCAAGCAGCGCCCGAGACACGAAAAAGGTCCCAAGATGGCCTCAAGATGGCCCCGAGAGGCCCCCAAGAGGCCCCCGGGGGGCCCCCAAGAGGACCCCAAGCGGCCCCCCCGAGGCACCCACGACGCCCAAGAGCCCCCCCCTCCCCCAGGACCGCCAAGAAACCCCCAAGACGTCCCAAGAGGCCACCAAGAAACGCCCAACAGATACCCCAAGAGGCTCCGAGGGGCATCACAAAGACTTTTGGCTCTTTTGCTTGCCCTGTTCCTCCTGCTCGCCCTTCCTCCTCCTACTCCTTTTCTGCCTCCGCCTCCTCCTCATCCTCCTCCTCCTCCTTTTCCTCCTCCTCCTCTTCCTCCGCCCCCTTGTCCTCCTCATCCTATACATCCTCCTTCTCTCCGCTCCCTCATCCATTCGTCCAGTTTTGCTCCCGCACTTCCCTGATCACCTCAACTCGCCTGGACATCGTTTCTGGCTGGGCTGGTGGGGGTACGTTTTGATCGCGACCGCGGCGAAAAAGTCGGGCGGCGTAAAGGTGCGAAGCGGAGATGCAAACTAGCGCATGAGTCGGGTCGGCCGAAAGGTGCGAAGCGAAGCGTAAAGGTGCGTATAAGTCGGGTCGGCCGAAACTAGCGCAACCAGGGCGAGGGAGGCGAACAGAGGAAGAGAGCGAACGCAGAAGAGAAAAAAACAAGCGGGGGGTAAACAGGAGGCGAGATTCGCTGCCGCTCACAAGACGGCGCACACCTGGAGAACTCCCCGGCGAAGTGCAGCACCCAAATGGTGCAATTCAAGGCCAGCTCCGCGACCAAAATGGTGTAATTCGAGGGGCTGGTGGGGATACTTTTTTGGTTCGCGGCTCCAAGGCGACGGACAAGGAGCGGGCACAACGTCCGTGGCGCGGTGCGATGTAAATTGGCCGCAGTGGCGTATGCACACGCCAGGGACAAAATGCCCCTCATTAAGACGCAGGACGGCGTCGGCAGGTGACCGGCCCAGACATCCCGGCAGGTGGGGAAGCAAAGGCGCGGCGACCAGCAGCGGAACGGGGGGGAGAAGTCGCCCTTGCGGCGCCAAGCTCCAGCCGAACCGCATACGGAAGCGAAGCCAAAATGGGCGGCGGGGCGCTGTAGGGCCGCAGGCGCGGATCCGAATGGCCAATGACCAAGCGAAGCCCACGTGCGAGCACCCAGTGACAGGCCAAGACCACGGAAAAAGAGAGGGGGGAGAGTGCGAACGCGAGCGACTAACTCAGACTCACTGCAGCACCCCGGGTGAACGGTGGTGCGGCGAAAGAGGCCTGACTCATCAAGGCTCACTGGAGCTAAGGTGTGGCTGATCCGCGTCAGAACGCCATCCAGTAGAGAAAGAGCACTGGTATGCGCCCACGAGGCTGAGCCACCTCCAGCCGATAGCCAGTGCGTGCACATCGTATCCGACTCACGCAGTTCGGGGGCACAACGATGCAAGCTGGTGGGGATATATTTTTTTACAGCCGCAGGCGGAAGCGCCGGCGGCGAGGGGTCACGGTCGGGCTGCGGCCGTGACGAATTACCCGGGCGCGCGCGGGGGCCGCGGATCAGGCGGCAGGGTGAGCAGCAACCCCCTGGTGGGGATACGCGAAGCGTCTAGAATTGCAACAGCTTCAAGGATGAAGGACGGCACACTTTACACTGTGGCTCTCGCCTGCGCGACGTGCACATTCGTTTGAACAAGTTTGCACAAGCTTCAAGGATGGAGGGCGGGCCGTTTTCAACAGGTGGCTCTCGATCGAGCGCCGCGCACATTCGTCTTAAAAGTTCGCCAGGGCAGTACACGTGGAGGGCGGCTTCTTTTCAACATGTGGCCTTTGCGCCGCGCACTGTGGCAGTCTACAACGCTTCGAAGGATTCTTATGGCTGGTGGAGGTCCCAGAAATGGTGTTATTGGTACGGTTTAGACTTGCTAGGGAGCGACAGTCACGTTGATTGCCGGTGCTGGCGTCGCGGGGGTTCGATATCACCCGGCGCACCGTGGTGCTGGGGACCACGGCGCTCGCGTGGTAGCCAGTTGAGCCCAAGAGGACATCAGAGCGCTGGCTGTCTTGTCCAGGCGGTTCAGGATCAGGGCGTTTCTTGCTCACGCCATCCTTCATGGTTGGAATCCATTCACGGCGAACGTAAACAGGTCAGTAGCGGCGACGGCGTGCTCTGGACGAGGCTTCAGGATGGTCTTGACAGACTCAAACACGTTCTTTGCTGAGCCGCGGTGCTCGCGGCAAGCCGCTTCATCCTGTGCGACTCCGCGCCCCTCACAAACAGGGGCGTCCTCCTTGTCGAGGTACGGAGTAAGGGGATGCTCCTCTTCGCCTTTGGCAGCATAGGTTTTCCCCCACGCGCAGCCGTCTCCAGCGGCGGGCGTCCCTACCACGCCTCCTTCCCTGCTGGTGGGTGCGCCGGGTTTCCCCAGCGCAGCCTCCCTCCCGGGTTAAGCAGAGCCTTGTTCCGGTAGACTTGTCCCCAGTGCTGGTGGAGGTCGCTTCTGCGACGTTTGCGTTGTGTTCCCAGGAATGGTGCTTTGGCACGGTTGAAGATGTTCAAACGGTTGTCTTCCGACAGGGCTCTTCCCACAGTGATAGCAGATCCTTATAGAAGCATACGAAGAGGGACCTTGGAGGGAGTGTTAATTTCAACATCATGGGTTAGTTTCGGACTTACACTGGTCATCCCTCCTCTTAAAGGGTCCCCTGAACTCTGCAGATCACGTCCGCGGGACCCGCTGTCCGCCCTGGATCGTCTCTTGAAGGCCCGGAGGTGCGGCGAGGTGCCCCCAGGCGCCGACGACGACGAAACAAATTTGCGCCTTGACATTTCCAATGCGTTGGAGATCTGGGTCCTCCTCCTCCTCCTCTTCCTCCTCGTCCTCCTCCTCGTCCTCCTCCTCCTGGCACTGGACACTGACGGCAGTGGGTCCACTAGTTGGAGGACTCCACCTCCTCCTCCTCCTCGCCATCTCGATCGCGAACGCGCCTGGAGCACCTGCAGGTGCGGGAAGGAGGCGACCCCGCCGACCGGGCCGTCACCGCTGGCGGACGCCTTCCCGAGGTCGAGCTTCGTCCTCGAAGGGCCGGGAGGGAGGAAACGATCCACGCCGAGGTCGGACTGTGTCCTCGTCCTTCCGGGGAGGAAACGGTATACCGACACCGCTACCTTTGCCGCAGTTTCTACTGCTTGGACCTCCTGGCAGGCCCACGTCGCTACCGCTGGATTGGCCTCGAAATGTCTGTCAGAACGCACCCCAGGAGAGGTTCGGGGAGTATCGGTATCGGTACATGCTTTGCCACCCAAAGGTCGAGTTGTGTCCTCGTCCTGTTTCTCCTCTACTCCTGCTCGTCCTCGTCCTTCTCCCCCTCGTCCTGCTGCTAAGACACAGGAAGAGAAAAAGATTGAGGAGGGAGCGGAGGGGGAAGAGAAGTCTGTCAGGAGACACGGGGTGATGCAATAACGAGCAGGGGAGCAAGGAGGAGGAAGAGTGGCAGGAGGATTGAAGGATACTCGTGATGACGAAGAGTAGGAGAGAGGATATGTCAGATCTGCTGACTGCTGGATGGGGAACCCCAGAGATGTCCAGCACTGGGCGCGACAATTGCTGGCAAGATCGGGAACATGAACACCAGGGACACTTGTGAAACGAACAGACGACGAGCGGCAACAGCAGGAGGGGGTGAATATCAGGAGGGCAGCAGGGAGGAGCACGAAGAGGGAAAAGAGAAGGTAGCACATTGTCATAAATTAGAAGAATCACCGGAGGATCGGGCACTGGACTGTGCCCACACGAGGGCCAGCTCTCCATCCCGAGTCGTTTTCTGAATGTCCTAGGGCGCCGAAAGCGTCCGGAGAGACTGGAGACTGGAGACTGGTTCGATTGACCAACACATTTTTTGGATCACATCAGGCATACAACTTTTCCTTGGCTGATCGTTGTGCTGACAAAAAGGACCGAAAGCGTCCGGGGAGGCCGAGAACGGCCAGAACACGAACAAAACTCGCTTCCCCCAGCTGTTGCATCGTAGCGGAAGTGGCCGCAAGGGCAGCACTCCCAGACCCCCGACGTCATGATTTGTTCATGACGCGACCCCCAGAGGTCTGGACCCATTCCCCAGGAACCGGTTTTTCATCCTGGGTCGTGTGTTGACGGTCCCGAGTCCCGGAAAGGGCCCCCAGAGGACGAAAATAGCGAAAAACCTCCCGTCGTGATTTTTTCATGACGCGAGGGGGTCTGGGTTGGGGGCGCCAGGAGGGAGGGACCCGGCGAGCGGCAGCAGACCGCGAGCGAGGCCACCGAGGGAGGCTCGCCTTCGGTGCCCGCCCCCTCGCGCACGCGCGAAAACGCCCGTGCCGACGCGGCACGGGCACGAGGAGCCACGGGAAGCAGCGCTGCGCCACAAAAGAGCCCGGTCTCGCACGAGAGCTGGGAGGAGGAAGGGAGGGAGGGAGGAGGCGGAAGGAGGGGAGGGAGGGAGGGAGGGAGGGAGGAGGGAGGGAGGGAGGGATCATGATCAGGATCAAGGTCGTGGAGTTCTGATCATCTCGACCATTTAACTGGGACGACTGCAGCCGATCGTTCGAGAACTCTGAGGGGTCTGAATTAGACCAGTTACACAGCATCCAGCTGGCGCTCTCGGCTCAGGGCCGCACTGCCCTCATCAAGGGCACTCCCACGGGAACCTCGGGGGCCCTCTGAAGGACCAGGGCCGCGGGCTCTTCCCCGACCCCGAACTCTCTCTCTACGCTTCAAAATGACAGTGGGTGCCTCTCGCACTCGCCCGTCACTACCCCCCTCAGAGTTCTGAAAGCCTGACAACAAATTATCGGGCAGACGTCCTGAATTCATGAGTTCCGGAAGTCTTGTGCTCGAGGCGAGCGCGGGGGGAAGACTTAACCCGCTAAAACTAGCGGTCGGGCCTGACGTCCCACCCCCCCCCCCCCTCCCCGCAGCGGCAGCAGCAGGCCTCCACCCACCCCCCCTCCCACGGTCATCCTGCGCTGCAACCCTCCTCGCGCCTGCAGCGCGGCGAGCACGCGAGCGGCATCCCTCTCGAGCGGGCCCCGCGGCGCGGAGCCTGCCTTGCGCGTGGCCTTCATCCTCTGCTCGACTATCTGGACGTACAGGCGCTCGAACTTGACCATCTCCTGGTTCGACCGATCGAAGCAAGCGAACAGGCGGCCCTTGCCCACCAGCCCCGACGGGCCCTTGTTCCGCTTCCACTTACAGTACGGAATCAGCACGGCGAGCTGCTGCGGCGTCGAGGGCTGGATGATCTTCACGTAGAACTCCTCGAGCAACGCCTTCTCGTCCCAGGTCCTGCGCCGCCGCCCACAGCAAGAAGGCCACGAAAATGTGGACGTGGGGGGGCCGCGCTTCTCGAAGTCTGGTTCCTCTCCTGCCTCCTTCTGTTTTTTTTTTCAGCTCCTGTGAGTCGGCGTTGTACGCCTTCCCTGCCCCCTCCAGCGCCTCGTGAACTCCTCCTTCTCCACCTGTAACTTCCATCTCGTGTGTCATGTACACTGTGCTGATGACGTCGGCCAGCTCCCTGGAGTTCGTCATCACCAGGCCTGAAAGAATCATGGCCAGCTCGCGAAGGGCCGCGTCGCCGCCCTTCTTTGCCGCCTGAGCGATCTCCGTCTTGATGGTATTTGACTTTCTCTCTCCTTCGGCCGAGGGTGAGGTTCTCTTTAAACAGGCGGGGGCCTCGATCGGCATGTCGCGGCCGAGCTTCAGCTGCAATAACAGGGCGAGGTAAATGCTCGAGCAAATGCATACGGAGATCATCCGATGAAGCGACCGTGGCCGTACACAGCACACTCGAACGAGGCAGGCTCCTCCAACTTCCGAAAGGTCGTGTTTCCCTTCGTCGGACATGCCCCCGAGATCAGCCCCGATGCCAAGTGCCGAGCCGCGGTCAGCTTACTCTGAAATACCCCACAGCATACTATACATTGATTGGCGCACGTGAGGACGTGCGCGAGCGACCGAACATGGTGACAAGCGCGGCGGCGATTCAGAAGCTGAGCACGCGTGGCAAAGCAACTCATGCATGTTCCACCTCCCTCCTCCGCCCAAGTGCAGATCCATGGCTCATCTGGTTCTCCGTCTGGGCGACCCCCCCCCCCCCCCCATAGGCCGACGGGGGAGGGTCGCACTGCGCATCCGAGGTCCCAGGGTTGAAGCCAGGCGGGGGAATACCCACGCGTAACGGTCTCCATCGCATCTCCGCGAAATCGAGGCGAACGAGCTCCCGAGCGACCTCCGACTCCACGAGGCGAGACGGGTCCGCGGCCAAGATGGGCAAGACGGACGGCTCGTCCATCATCTCACTAGCACTCTGGAAATCCTCTGCCATCCTACGAGCCCAAGGGGATGCCGCCGATGAGAGCCCCGACGAGTTTCTTGAAAGAAAGGCGAGCGCCTGGCAAACCAGATGTCCACAAAGCGCACCGAGTTCTTGACTATGTTGTTCTGGTCTTTTTGCCCACCCCTGGTACCACCGAAGCCTGCGAACGAGCATCTCAATGTCAGCGGGCGCTAATTTCCAATACCCCAAGAGTTCGCCAGTACTCCAGCTCCTGATATGCTCGTTCTCTATCCGTTTAGCTGCCCCTTTCAACGCCGCCCGACAGAAATATGCCATCTTGTTATCTATATGATTGTACTGCGGTTTTGTCATGAGCATGGGTTCCAGCCCAAAGTAAGGCAGTTTGTGGTAGGCTAATGAGCAGGCACCACTTGAACTTCCACGGAATCGATAACTGCCAGATTCCCCCAGGGCTCCAGAAAGCGTTCGATCCAGAATTAAGGCGGTGCTGCAGCTCCACCCCCGTCCTACCGTCCAAGGAGACTCTGGGCCCCAAGTAACGCGTTGCTTGCTTGATACTACCACACAAGACATCAGGAACATGTTTTTTTAACCGCCTCCTACACATCGCAGCGTCTGCACCTTCGATCCTAGCCAAGAACTCCTGCTTTGAGATGTTCTGAGTGTATCCGATCTTCTCCAGCTCCAAATTCAGTATGGAACCAGAGGCGGCTAGCTGCTGCTCAAAATCCTTCAACTTGCATTCTGGTGGCGCCAAGTCGAACTTCCACAATGCGTCTGCGAACTTCCACAGAGAGAGGTCAACGACCGAGTTCTTCCACCTGCACTCGAGAGAGTTCATGAGCACGGGCTTCAGCTGGTTAAGCCAAGCGAGGATGGGGCGCCGAAGTGTGCCCCGGAACAGCCTGACCGTGAACGGGTCGCCCATCAGTCCGCCCTCCCCTGTCTTAATAAGAAGGTCTCGATCAGCACTGGGGGGGTCGATGGTTGCTTCTCGAAATATCTGGACTGCCAAACAGTAATTTTCATGTTGCGCATATTGTGTAGCTCTCGATTCCAGCTCGGTCCAGTCCCCACCAGCAAATGCATTCGATAGATCCTTCAAACTCGCGGTATATGAACATCCACTCTGCGCAAGCCTCCACGAGACCATCTGCCCTCCCAAGATCGCGTCCTCCCCCCCCCCCCTCGTCCGAACAAATCCGTGATCAAAAGGGTCGGCAGGCACCTGTAATAAGTCAGCGAGTCACATCTTTCCGATTGACGGCAATATGTGCACTACTCGCTTCCCTGCAGGGCCAGGGACATTGGATTTCCTCAAAGCACATCCCGAGCTTCTCTGCCAGTAAACTGGTACCCGTCTGTTACGTCGAATATTCCGCAACCCAGCAATCACATAATCACGAAAGATACTCATGTCAGGTAAATCCACTCGGTAGCCAAGACCACGACGATTGCGCGTGGAGATCTGTCTCAGAGGATGTATACACAGATGCCAAAGCTCCGCTGGAGCCGTCCCTTCTGGTACTGCTCTCCGTCGCGGCGCCCGCCTGGATCGAAATTCCAGTCTCTCGTAGTCCTCCTCCGCCATGTTCACGTGGGTCTCCGTCAGGGGCGATGTGTCGGTGTTGAGCTGCTGTTCTCTCCATTCACACCAGTCAATCTCAACGGCACTCATGCCACCCTCGCACCCTGGCCGCACCCAGCGCTGCAGCCACTCCCCTGCCGTTGGCGAAGATCC